TGTCCAGACCGTCTACTGTTTGCAAGAGAATGACTGTATTTGTATGTACAGCACTGCATACAATGTGAAGAGCAATGTGCATCTGGTATTGTGTTGCTGGTGTACTTGTTCAGTTACACTTGTGGGGAAGGAGCTACAGCACTGTGCTCCTGCCTCTCAACCCACAATTAACAAATAATTACTTAATTTAGTAATTATTTGAATTATTTGAGAGCTATGCTTGAGGTGTCTTTTTTTTTTTTTAATGAAGTCTTAAAACATAATCAACTTTCTCATGAAGGCTGTGCCATACCCCCCTCCCCCCTGACTACTTTATTACTGAATAAACTTTTTCAGACATTCTTTCTTCATATTTTTATTATATACATATTATTCTCTCATTCTGTTTGGGGAAGACAATAAAATGTCTACTTTAGCAACTTTCTGGTTATCTTCTTGAGGTTATCTTGAGATGATTTCGGGGCTTTTTAGTGTCCCCGCGGCCCGGTCCTCGACCAGACCTCCACCCCCAGGAAGCAGCCCGTGACAGCTGACTAACTCCCAGGTACCTATTTACTGCTAGGTAACAGGGGCATTCAGGGTGAAAGAAACTTTGCCCATTTGTTTCTGCCTCGTGCGGGAATCGAACCCGCGCCACAGAATTACGAGTCCTGCGCGCTATCCACCAGGCTACGAGGCCCTTAAAAATCTGGGCCTGGTGAACAGGCCCAGCCTTCTCTGACTAACACCTTCCAAGCCTGGTGAACAGGCTTGGAAGCCTGTTCACCTCGTTATGTGCATTTGACTGAACAATCTGCTGACACCATTTTACTTGACACACACAATTCCTACCAGTGTGTCTGTGGCTCATTTGGGTTCTTTGATTCCAGCTGCATATCTTAAGCACCATACCTGAACCTATACCTTCTCACCAAGCTACTGTAGCCTATTTCATACAGCATTCTGCATCACCTTGTATGATGCACAAGTAAGGAACACTGAAGGGTAATGCTTTCCCTCTGTTTCATGTATTATATATATATATATTTTTTTTTTGAGATATATACAAGAGTTGTTGCATTCTTGTACAGCCACTAGTACGCGTAGCGTTTCGGGCATTGGCACTTTATTGGCTGTCATCCAACTTCCTGGAAGTCCTTGTGTTCCTGATGTGTTGTGTTGTGTTGTGTTTGGTATTTGCCTGCTATTCCAACTGAGCAGTGCAATTATTGTTTTGTGTATGATATATTAGGACATTGTCATATTGAAACTAACAGCACTTATGTATCATGAAATTAAAGTTCCTTCTTTAGTAGGTAGCATAGCCAAATCAAAACTTTTTTATGGTATTTTTACTTCTCTGTATCCAGAGACTGTCTGATTTTATTTATTTGAAATTATAGACACTAATAAAACTAATCTTTCATTATTAGACAATGTAGCCCAATAGCATCTACTGAGGACTAAAATTTTGACTATGTCCATAGTGTGTTATTACCAGTACAGTACTGGAAAAACTGATCCCCCCCCCAACATCCTTTCCCAACCCACCCACTACAGCCACCAATACATCTGGCATATGGCCTCATTACATATGCCCACAAACATACCCATCCACAATATTCCCATACCCATTCAAATCCCATCTACTGTAAGCCATCACTAATTATACAGTATAACCTCCCACACCAGCCCCACCAACACCCACATTCCAGCCCCTCCCACGCACACATCCCTGATCCACCTACAAACACATTAGCTGTGGGCGAGGCTAATCACACTCCCACCTTATTCCCCCCAACTAACCACCCACACCCACTCATTCCTCTCTCTATTTTCATATACTGTGCTGTGTAATATACTATACTGTGGTATACTGTACATCTTTGTTAGAGTATTCATTAATATTGTACAGAACTATGACATATGCCTGATTCTTAAGACTGGGAAAATGGGCAAATGCTTCCAGCTTAGAGAGTATTGAATGTTTTCTTTTATATTGAAAGATGCATATTTTTAGTGCAACAGTATTATTGATCAAGATGTTGCTGTCCTCCATGAAAAATTGGTTTATCGTCACTGATTATTACACCTTTAATAAGCAGAAATTTACATTATATGATGTTGGAAGTGGAATGAATGTTATTTTTGCCTCCCCCCTCCCTCATTTTTTTGTTTTTTTTACTTTTTCCAGATGAGAATTGTGTTTATCTTTGATTTTTAATTGTTTATAACTTTTAATCTTGTGGATTTTGGTGTGTGATAAAAAAATTGTATTTCTAGGGATTAATGTCATAAGATATTGATTATATATCACATAAGTCTAATCCATAATGTTGTTTATATAGTAATTAGTTTTAACTATTAGAACTAGAACGGAATGTAACGTGATCACCTAACTCGAGCCATCACAAATGTTTTTTCAAACAAATCATTTGCTATTGTAATTAAAGTTTACATTTTTTATATTCTTGAAGGGCATTGGAGAGCTACTATCTCTTAGTAGATCCCGAATGCCATGTCCTGGAAGCAGCCAAGCCTTGGGGGAATACATCAGGACTTGACCCATAAGGACTTACAAGGGACCAGGTTTAGAATCAGGCCAGCTCAAACAGGCAACGGAGGAGTGTGGAGGATTAGAGTTTACCACAGAATTAAGCAAAATTTTCACCAGGAAGATTGAATGCTTCAAAACAAGCAACGGCTTTGATAAATTTATAACCCAGATAAAGATGATACAAACAATCGTTTCCGCAGTGAAGTCACTACCTGGATACACTTGTCCGCAAGCAGATGGCAATCCAGGTGACTCAGGGTTCTGGGGCCAAATTCATCAAGTAGTTACGCAAAGTACAGTACAGTAATTACAAACTTCCACATTTATTCTCAATCTTTGGTGGCTTTGTTTGCATTTATTAACAGTTTACGAGTATCAAAATTTCCCAGTCAAATGTTATTGGTATAAACAGCCTCCTACTACTCTGGAGCTCATAAACTGTTTACTAAATGTAAAGAGTGCCGCCAAAGATTGAGAACAAATGTACAGGTTCATTAATACAGGGAACTTGCATAACTGCTTGATTAATCCAGTTCCTGGTCAGCCAGCCTGCCAGTACATAAACTAGCTATTCCAAATGTATGTTGACTCGGCTCCATGAGAAAAGAGGGTAATAGATAGCAGCAATGAAAAGCTCTACTCAAAGATGCTGCCCTTGCACCACTAAATCTTTTTCATCCTCCTATCAGATATAGACAAAAAATACAAGTCATAGATAGCTTCATTTCATTTACAGACAATACCAAATTGAGCATGAAAACTACCTTTATAAGACTCAAAGTACAAACATATCAGTACAGTATAGTCTTTCACTGGGCAACATTATATAAAAATGATTTTGATCTGTGATAAATTTACTTCCCTTTTCAAAGCAGGAGAGATTTTTGAAATAGAAGAAATTTGGAGAATATATACATCATGTATGAACAGTCACACACTTAAATTACTGGGACTGTCTCAGAACACTCAAAACGTACTCTGGAAAGAAGATAAGAGAGAGTTGTCACACATTATATTCATGAAAGATACTGTACTGTTAGCCAGTTCCCAAATATGTGCAACAAAATAACTTACTAAAGTGAAAGATATACAGTACTGTAGTGGGAAATGAAGAAATGGCCCAATGAAGAGTGGAGATGCCATACGCACAATCAGAAAACACACTATAAATACTGTAAGAGCCGCCACCTCCCATCAAGTATAAGAAATTTTGCCAGAATGAAAGTCGATGTTTTCAAAGGCAATTGAACAGGTTTCTGCAGGTGGTAGTGGATATTTGGGCCTGCAAGCCTCTCCAAGCAACAGCCTGTTAGATAAAGTTATCACATGACAAGTCTGACCCCATGTTGGCCTTGGGGAGCAGAACTGACTACAGGTAAACTGACTTGCCCCACCAGAAAGAGGTAATTCTTTATATTCAGTGCCTCAATAGCTCCCCAATACTATCTCACAGTGGAACCAAATATCCAAAATTCTTGTTTCCTTTGAAGAGTTTAAAGCTCCCCTTCAATAGGCCTTCAAAGAGGGTGTATTTCATTACCTTCAATGTTGAATTTATTTATCTGTTTACATACAATAAGGTACAATGGATGTACAGTACCTTATTGTAAAGGATGTACTTTATTGTAAAATTTTAAGTTAATGGATTTTCGTAATTAAATGCTAGTTTCTCACAATGGCACTAAAATGCATAGCATCTAATTTACAATCAACAGCATACTGTTGACTGTAAAATTTATTACTTACATGGTAAGCTTTTAAGTGTTACGTACTGTCTTAATGAATTTCTATTTAAATGCGTTAACGTTTGCGATGACTCGAGCACATAATATGATCAATTGTGTTCATTCAGTAGTATATATAAAAAGATTAACCAGAAATATAATACAAATGTCTACTAGTGTTAAATGCTCACATAATATCTTAAGAGATTCCTGGATCGAAGGATACATTAAAATTATGCAAAATTTAAATTTAAATTGTTCAACCAAATTTAAATTTAATTTCTGCTATCAAATTTAAATTTAATTTGTGCCATCAAATCTAAATTTTGTTTGTGCCACCAATTTTAAATTTAATTATTAGACTACGGTAGTTCAGATGTGCAGATTGTTTCAATATTTATTTGTTTTCACAACTCCTTCATATTATAAATAATTTTTAGTGCATTTAAATGATTGTCTTGTTTAGTTATTTAAGGTTTTCAAGAATGATGTGTGGTTATGACAGAGATGTTTGTTTTCCTTTATAGAGCTCTAGACAAGGAAGTGAAGGTAGTGTTTGAGGACCATGCGTGCTGTGTGTGTGTGGCAGGAGTGCCCCATGTCTTCAATAAATATAAATTCATGCTTTTATAAAGCTTTGATTAAATCTTATTATATTTGGAATACTGTACAGTACATGACAAAGTTCAGGTAAGTGTAGATTCCTGAACACTGAAACCCATTTCTCTGTTCACACACAGAAACGACGCAAGAAGTCCGAAATGTTTAGCAGAAAAAAAGTTCACGCCTCTCGATACTGGCGGTGGAAGATGGCTCAGCGGGAACTTGAGCGGCAGCGGCTTGAGCGGGAGCAGCGAGAGCATCACAAACTGGGGGGGCGGGAACAGCACGCAACAGACACAGCAGGGGGGGGTAGCCGGGGGGAATGATGATCCAGTGCCAATTTCATCATTGCCAGGATACCATCTTCTGTCCCAGAGAGAAAGGAAGGTACGAGTACTAGCTTTATCGATCCTCAAACTAACTACTGTTTTGACCCTTTTTTTGACTTGTATATTGTATATATAATATATTGTTATATTTTCTATTGTAATATCTTTGAAGAATAATGAATGTGTGTATAGAGTTGGCAGTGGTAGTAAATGCTGTGTCAAGTTCTTATGTTGGTATCAGTGTATGTGTAAGAATTAATGGTATAATGAGTGAGGGATCTGATATTAATGTAGGTGTACATTAGTGTTGTTTGATGCCACCTAACTTATTCAATATGCACATGGATGGGGTCATCAGGGAGGTCCTGACAAGAATGTTAACCAGGGGTGTCAACTTCGTGCATAACCCTAATGTGAGTAACTGAAGTACTGTATTTTAAATAAGATATAGTGGAACCTCTGTTTTCAAATGCCCCTCTTTTCAAATTTTTCGGTTCTCAAGTTCAGTTTCTTAGAAAAATTTGACTCGGTATTCGAGGTTTTCCTCGGTGCTCGAGTTTGTTGATACGCGTATGAGCCGACCAAGCACGTGGTGCACTTCAGTTTACCTGTGTATCCTGCCTAGTGACAACCGCGCTTGAATTCTTTGTAAAGAATTTCATTGTTTTTGTGCTTTTTTGGTTTCTGAACATAAAAGTTCTTGTCATGGGTTCTTTACCACTGAGAAAGTCGGTGGTAAAGTTCAACCTAAGAAAAGAGTTGTAAGGATGTAGATAGATGAAAAACAAGAGTGTTCATAGTGAGACAATGTGATGTCTCACTTCAGGCAAGTGTTAAAATGAAGGGAAAAACAAGTGTCTATAGACAGATTCGTAGTAAGACAAGCAAGCAGTGAGCCACAACCAGGTCTTAGTGGTATCCCTGCAAAACGTAGGAGAGAGAATACCCCAGAAATGTCATCACTGCTGTTATAATGGAAGTGGACTCCCCTTCCAAACACTTAACACCTCTCCTCCTAAGATATACTTATACATACTGTAGTACTAAATATGAGTGTGTATAAAATGTATTTTTAAGTTAATATTTTTAAGGTGTGGAATGGATTAATTCAATTTACGTTATGTATTTCTTATGGGAAAATTTGTTTTCAAATTTTCGGTTTTAGAACCATCTCTGGGAATGCATAAATTCGAAAACGGAGGTACCACTGTATATGCAAATGAGATACAGTACTCTTTTTTTTTTTTTTTTTTTTTTTTTTTTTTTTTTTTTTTTTAATGATTGTAGCTTTGTTGTGGTGGAGAGAGAAGGAAATTGTGTGCAAGAAGTAAACATGGAAAAGTGAATTGCTGGAGGAAGTCAGTCAGTTCAAATACCTTGGATGTGTGATTGCTAAAGAAGTAATTTATGCAATCAAGAAGTAGAATAAACTGTGGCTGCTCTAATGAAAGCCTTGGTTAGAAAACACAAGACAGGAACAGATGCAGCCAGAGGTCTGCATGATGGTGTAATTACCTAAGTGACAGGAGGAGCCTAATTACCTAAGACAGGAGGAGCGTTACACACGTGGTGTCCTGTCTTCCCAGCACTCTTTTGCTATATGATGCTTTGAAACTATTGACGGTTTTGGCCTCCATCACCACCACCTCGCTTAATTTGCTCAAGCAGTTTACCGCCCTTTTTGCAAAAAGGGAACTTTTTAATGTTTTTTCGGCAGCTTTGTTTCTTTAGTTTGAACCCATGTCATCTTGTTCTTGAAGTTGCAGTTTTCAAAAAAAATCTTTTGTCAATTTTGTAGTGCTGACTTATATGAATTATTGTGAGACAATCATGTGATATGATTAAAAAAAAAGTTAGAATAGTAGAAATGGACAATCTGAGAAGCAGATGTTATTACACACAGAAATCACAATAACATGATGCATCAAATGAACAAATCCACAAGGGCCATGATGAGGATTCGAACCTTTGTCCCAGATGCTGCCTTAATTGACTGAGCTACGACATGGTCAAAAGAATTGCAACCAGAAGTTCTCCTGAACTTACTTGGATCCCTCAGCCCCACCGAGACACAAACCAGGGTCTTACACAATTCCCCCATGCACTTGAGCTATGTCAATAGGCCATTCTACCTCTTCACTTTTACTTCATTACACACAGAAATCACAATACTGTGATGCATCAAATGAACAAATCCACAAGGGCCTGCAACCATGTCGTAACTCAGTCGATTAAGGCAGCGTCTGGGATGCTCTTGGACGTAGGTTCGAATCCTCGTCACGGCCCTTGTGAATTTGTTCAAGCATATGTTATATTAAGAGATATAACAGGGAATGAAAATGTCATGGAGAGATGCGAGTTTTCAAAACCTGGTAAACTGCATAGTTGAGGGAAGCATACCGAGATGTTTTGGACTTGTTAAACAAATGAACAATGGTAGACTCGTGAAGTGTGTGGATTAAAGTGAATTCGATAATAGGAGAAAAGGAAGAAGGTAGGCAGACATGGGGAGCAAGTGTGAGAGGAAGCAGGTAGTGCGTGTGAACAACACTCAGGATATGGTAAGGAACAATGCTGGATGGATGTGGATTACAACAAGAAGAGAGTAAATGTATTTTTATGAAATGTATTTTGATAATTCATGAGGAGCACTGTATACCTGAGTTTCCTACATGACTTGCCGCAGTGTGTTAATTACACCAGCCTCAACTCGATATACTTCCCGTATTCGTTATATTTCCCATCGTCATATAGGACTCTATGCTCATTGCACTACCTTATAATCATTGTACCCCTCTATATTAATTACCACTTTTCTTACATATGCATGGGATGGGTATTCCCCCTCTTGATTAGCTACAATCAGAATGCTCCTAGTTTAATTTAAAATATTGAATTGATGATTAATGCCATATTTTCTGTTTCAGCTGTGTGCCTCCTCAAATATCAAACCATCCCAGTACATTGCTTACAAAGCAGTTTTACTAAAGGTAAGTTCAAAATAGCAAAATTTGAATTATTAGCACTTTCTGGCCTAAAGTCCTCCTCAGATACTCTGAGCCAGCTCCTGTATGATCCACTCGGTACTTGCTTCACCTGCCAGTCTATTGAGATTTATATCCTGTGTAATGGGAGCTTTGCAAGGGGTCTTGCTCAAACAAATTAAATGTTATTGTGCCAGGGTCAAGCCTGGCTTGGCCCTGGCTCAGTAACAAGATATGCCACCAGCATCCATGTCAGAATGTCAAATTCCCTCTGGGGTGCACCACTTGCCGTGTCCAGTTGCAGCAGTCTGCTGTTACCTGTGAGCCACTCAAGATGCCCCAGGTGACACTACAGTATTTGTCGTTCCAGTCTCATTGGTTATTTGTTCCTGTGCCCATTTGTCTCGTATCACCCACAGTGTCATTGGATTATTACCCTTCAGTCTATCCACGGGCCCACAATATTTGTAAGTTTGCAGCTCTGTCCATTTTATTTTCAAACATGCCTTGGTCTGACATTCAGGCTTGTAGATTTTGGGATTAAAGTATATTGCTGGGACACTGTATCTGGTTGATGTTTTTGAACTGTGCTAGTCTTGTATGACATTGGGTAAGGGTACCTTGTGCTGATCTCTCTTCCTCCCCCCTCCTTCTTCAAATGTTACAGGCTGGGGGCTGCTCTCTACCTTTGGTAAGCCTTGTTTTGTTTTTTTCCCTGTGGTGAGATAGTTCCAGGGCGTCAATAAGGGACTTTCAGAAATCCAGTATTAAATGTAATTAAATGCCTCTTTCTGGTGGGCCTCTCGGTGGAATCGGTTTTCAACATGTGTGGCTCATCTCTGATTGATATCACCAGCTGGACCCCGAGCTACTGGAGCCGAGACTAGATGGTGGTGAGGTGCAACAAGTGGGGTGGTAACATGCTGACTACTGTGGTCCTGATTGTCAGGGATCTTATCTTGAGGTCATGTTGATGATTTCGGGGCTTAGCGTCCCCACGACTTGGTCCTCGACCAGGCCTCCTTTTTGTTACACATCCCCAGGAAGCAGCCCATAGCAGCTGTTTACCTCCCAGGTACCTATTTACTGCTAGTTGAACAGATACATCAGGGTGAAAGAATCTTCCCATTTTGTTTCCGCCTCCACCGGGGATCGATGGAGGCACAATCAGAGAACACTGTATAAACATCAGAGGTCCACGGTTGTTCAACGTCTTCCAAGCGACTATAAGAAATATTGCCGGAACAAAAGTGGATATCTTCAAGAGAAATCTAAACTGTATTCCCCCAAAAATTGTGCCGGACCAACTGGGCTGTGGTGGGTATGTGGACCTCCAGAATGCTCCAAGCAACAGCCTGGTGGACCAAACTCTCACAAGTCAAGCCTGGCCTCAGGCCGGGCTTGGGAGTAGAAGAACTCCCAGAACCCCATCAAACAGGTATCGTCAAGCAGGATCGAACCCGGAACCTCAGGACTACGAATCTGAAGTGCTGTCCACTCAGCTGTCAGGCCCCCTAATATACTGTCAGGGATGTTAATAATTTCCTTGCAGTTGTGTTTTGGAGCACTGTACATTTCTGGTAGTACAATATTTCTTTTTGGCCTGGGTCTATCTAGTATCCCCTGACTCCTTGTGCCTCTTTCAGTGGACCATATTCTGTCTCTGGTCTGCAATAGGCTTTTCTGACTCGAGGGGCCGATGAGAGATGACACCGTGTTGAGCTATTTAGGCAGCTAGTTCCAAGGGAGCCATGGAAGAGTCCACCAGAAAGGCAGGTTATTACATTTTAATAGTGGATTTTTCGAACCTGATGTCCAGTATTGGACAACAGGCATTGGTGACATTGCATCAGTATCTCTGGGCTACATATGCCTCTCACTTTCCTGCTCTTTGTCAACCCTCACTCATTTCCATCAATGTGTTCTAAGAATCCTCTCTTCTAGCTTTTATGATGCACAGTTAAGCTTTATCAGCCAAGGCAAATCAACATAACCATTATCTGAAGAAATGTGCCACACAAACTGCCTTCTCAATAATGTCCTTTTGGACATCAGGACCTGTTAGTTCTGAAATTGGAATCAGACCTTCATTGGCCCCAATATGCATTGTCAATGATTTGATTCTCGTCCATTTAACTCAACCTCTGCTTCTGGGGTCCTGAGATTTCTTTTCTGGTTTGTCGTCCACTCTGAGGCTCCCAATGTATGGTTGTTCTACTTGACAAATGCTGTCTTTTCATTTGTTACTTTGCATACTGTGGGGAATTTGATATGGAAATGAAACACCCTTACTGAAAGCGATCGGTGGATGCATACATTCCCATCCTTGTCCCTGTTTTCTCAGGTGTGTTTCAAATGTGGGTAGACAGCTTTTCTGGCTCTGTTGTTTTGGAATGCAGTGTAGCTTTTGATCTACTAACAGTTGTTTGCAGAGCATTAATTGATGGTAAAATAATTCAAATTTTTGCTTGCAGTGCGTTATCATGATTTGTTTTTTCTGTATTATAAGGAGCTAGTACTCTTTGGTGATGGCTTGAGTTATACTTGCCACTGTTTCCTTTTATTAGAGATGTGACAAAACCATTTTCAAAGATAATGTACCTATCACACTGGTGATGTCTCTAGGCTGGTGCCCAATAACCAGTTCTGACTGATTTATATAGGTGCTGATTGTGGAAGCATTAGTTTTTACTCAGGAAAGAGCATTTAACTATGCTAACAAAAAATTATGAAATTTGTAATGTCATATATGTCTAAATTGTTAAATTGTATATATTTTTTTAATATACCGGTACAGTAAACTTTTCATTAACAGGATGAAGGCGATAAGCAGCAAGCAGGAGTGGGCCCAGCTACCCGTAGGGGCGTCTGTTGCCCACAAGGCCTTGATTCTCACTCACAGCGTATGATCACGACTTTCATGACCCAAGCGGGTTGGATTTCTTCGTTTACATGACCATCAGTTAATTTTGGGACCTAAGCATGTTATCTCCTCACCTTTATTAATTGCTACCAGTTTAGAGATAGCAATCTCTTATAGTACTTTGAATATTGAGCATATTGTGGGGAGAGAGCTGTTCCATACACCTGCTATGATTATAAGCAATTAGACAAGAACTCTTTCGAGAAAATGAAAGGGTGAGTGAGTGTGTGCGCGTGCGTGTGTGCATGCGCGTGTGTGTGTGTGTGTGCGCGTGCATGTGTACTCACCTAATTGTGCTTGCGGGGGTTAAGCTTTGTCTCTTTGGTCCCGCCTCTCAACTGTCAATCAACTGGTGTACAGGTTCTTGAGCCTACTGGGCTCTATCATATCTACATTTGAAACTGTGTATGGAGTCACATGTGTGCGTGTGTGCTTGCACATGTGTGCACATGTGCGTTTGCGTCCTTGTACATGTGTGTGCGCCCGTGTGTATATATTATGAGTTCATTACATAGTCTGTTACAGTTTGTATTTAAGGGTCCCTATCAACTGATGGATTATGGCTTGAGGTCCCTTATAAACAGCTTTTTACTGTAATGGGCATGATTGAGTCACATGCACATCTTCAAGCATGTTATGTTGTTTTTCTTCTGCACATTTTATTGATGGTCTAATACGTGGAATCATGTTATACAAGCAATTTTTAATGTTCATTGACAATACTGTATAGACAGTGCAATTGCAGCTTTGAAATGAGAATTTGCTGTAAAATCTTGCTAAAGCCTTTGACAATGGCAAGAATAGCCTTTAATCTTTATGATAGTCATAAATATTGGTAAAACTTAGTTGCAATATTTGCACATTGCTTGTACTGGTGATGGTTGTATACTAGTGTTACAAGTATTCTCTACTCTGTTGCAGGGATTATTTCTCACTGGACACACTCCTCCAGTATAAAATACTGTATATGTAAAAATCATATTACTGTAGCTGTATTAAAGTTAACAGTGTTATTGTAAATATTTTTGTGAACTTCCCTCTTATTATATTGTACAAAAGGAGTTTTTCATCTCGTTTAGTTTTAGTTGGCCATCTGCGGGTGTGTACTAAGATGTTCTCTAGTCATGATGATACAGATGCAAACTCTAGCTACTATTCAAAATACTGCTGGCAGAAACAGGCTTTCTTACTTTGATTTGTAAGGTCTTAATTTCTTTACTGGAGGTAGAACTTATAAAAATATTTTGTTACTTATAATATTTTGTAAACATTACATATATTGATAAATTTTTAAAAGAGAATCTTGGTTAATTCATACCAAGAAGTATTGTTTAGTTTAGACATAAGGATATTAATTTTTATACAAATGTGTACCTGGATATTTATCTTTTTTTAAAAGACTTGTAGTATAATCTTGTGTTTAATTAACTAAACCTTCACTAAATCCTCTATCAATTGTGCTTTTGCTGAGAAAGTCTTGAAACACTTTAAGTGAAAGCTGCTATAGTTAAAATGTACAGTACCTTACTTTGCATTACCAGTATCTAGAAATTTTGTAATGATTTATGTAAATTTCATCTTTCTAGGGTTGTAAGTGGGAAATAGAATTTGCAGTATCCCGAGTGTTTATTTGCGAGAGCAAATCTTGCCGAATCACGCACCTGCTTGCATACATACAACACACACCAGCCTCCTGAAATGTTACTACTTATAGTAACTATTTGGTAAAAAGTACCAACCTGTAGTGTTGGACCACCAAAAGTTCTTTATGTACTTTAAATAATTTATTTATTCTGAGAGAATATATAACATAAAACTAAACTTACATTCTTAGGCCTAGTACAGCACACAAATGTACTATAGGATTGCTAGGAGAAGTTAAGTTAGTTTTTTTTCTAGATGTCCTCAGATATATCTAGGTATCTCTAGATATCTCTAGCTATCTCCAGATATTGGGATATCCACAAAGATATCTGGAATTCTATATAACTAGAGATATCGTTTTAGATATATAGAGATCTAGAATTCTAGATACCCATTGTTTTAGGGGATATCATGATATCCAGAGAGATGCAGAGTTCTAGATATCCAGAGTTATCTGGCTTCAACGTTAAAATAACATGGATTAAACTTCGCCATAGTCAATTTAATGTTTCATCCCTGAAGTAGTGTTGATTCAATGTTTAAATAGCGTCGATTTAATGTTTCAATAGTTTTGTGTTAACTTTGAAATAGCATTTAATGTTTCATCCTTGAAATGGTGTTGAATCAACATTGCAATAGTGTTGGTTTAATGTAGAATTAACTTTGCAATAACATCAACTTAATGTTGCAATATTGTTAATTTAGCATTTCATACTTTAAGTAGTGTTGATTCAGTGTTGCAATAGCATCAATTCATCATTGTAATCGTGTCAATTTAATGTTGCCATAGCATAGATTCGATGTTGCAATAGCGTTGATTTAATATTGATTGAACATTGACAGCATTTAAAGTTTCATCCTTCAAATAACGTCAATTCAGCATTGCAATAGTGTAGATTCAATATTGCAATAGTATTGATTCACAATTGCAATAGTCGATTCACAATTGCAATAGAGTCGATTCAATGTTGCAACAACGTTGATTCTAGCTTGAAATACCATTTGTTTAATCCCTTAAATAGAGTCGATTCAATGTTGCAAGTGTCGATTCAACATTGCAATCTATAGTGTAGATTTAATAAATCTATAGTAATCCTTCAAATAACATCAATTTAACGTTGCAATAGCATCAATTTAATGTTGATTCAAATTTGAAATAGCATTTGTTTAATCCTTGAAATAGTTGATTTAGCGATGCAATAACGTCGATTCAATGTTGCATTAGTGTTGATTAAAATCTGAAATGGCATTTGTTCTTGAAATAATCAATTTAATGTTGCAATTATGTCGATTTAACTTTGAAATAACATTTGTCCTTGATGTCGAATCACGTTGCAATAATGTCAGTTTAACGTGGCAATAGCATTGAAATTGTGTCGCTTCAACATTGCAATACGTCGATAATATTGATTAAACTTTGATATAGCATTTGTCCCTAAAATAGATTCAACGTCGATTTAACGTTGCAATAACGTCTGTTACCTACCTCGTGTAGCTTCTGGGGATTAATGGTCCCACGGCTCGGTCTTCGGGAATCACTGGCCCCGCGGCTCGGTCTTCGGGAATCACTGGCCCCGCGGCCCGGTCTTTATCCAGGCCTCCTGGTTGTGGTTGTCTGGTCAAACTAGGCGGTTTGACCATAAACAATGAAATAGTCAATTTAACGTTGCAATAGTGTTGATTTAACGTCTGCCACCTACTTTATGTAGCTTCTGGGGATCAATAACCCTGTGGCCCGGTCTCTGGGGATCAATGACCCTGTGGCCCGGTCTCCGGGGATCAATGACCCCGCGTCCAGATCTGGTTGGTCGTCTTGTCAACCAGGCTGTTTGACCATAAAATTTTAAATGGTATTTATCCTTGAAATAGTGAATTCAACATTGCAATAGCGACAATTTAACGTTGCATTAACGTCTGCTACCTACCTTGCATAGCTTCCAGGTATCATTTTCCCTGCGGCTCGGTCTCCGTCCAGGCCTCCCAGTTGGTCATCTGGTCAATCAGGCTGTTTGACCAAAAATATTGAAATAGTCGATTTAGCATCTGCTACCTACTGTATGTAGCTTCTGGGGATCAATGGCCCCTTGGCCCGGTCTCCAGGGATCAATGGCCCCGCATCCCGGTCTCCAGGGATCAATCGTCCCATGGAATGGTCTCCAGGGATCAATGGCCCCGTGGCCCGGTCTCCATCCAGACCTCGCAGTTGGTCGTCTGGTCAACCAGCCTGTTTGACCATAAACTTTGAAAAGCATTTGTCCTTGAAATAGAGTAGATTCAACGTCCCAATAGCGCTGATTTAACATTGCCATACCTTCGCCTTAACGTTGTATTAGTGTCAATTTATCGTTGCAGTACCTTATATAGCTTCCTGGCGATTTTACCCTTTGCTGTCGGGGTAATGATTTGTCTCTCCTTCAGCGCCAGCTTCAACTTGCGATTGGTGCCGTGTCGTCTTGGGCCACCGATCATGGCTTCAGGTTCTCTACGTCTAAGACTTGTGCTATGACTTTTACTCAGAAGCATGTCGTTCTTTGTCCTTCTTTGTCGTTTTATGGTCACCCCGGCTTATGGGAGCCGGTCGGCCGAGCGGACAGCACACTGGACTTGTGGTCCCGGGTTCGATCCCGGGCGCCGGCGAGAAACAATGGGCAGAGTTTCTTTCACCCTATGCCCCTGTTACCTAGCAGTAAAATAGGTGCCTGGGTGTTAGTCAGCTGTCACGGGCTGCTTCCTGGGGGTGGAGGCCTGGTCGAGGACCGGGCCGCGGGGACACTAAAGCCCCGACAAAGACACTAAAGATAAAGACACTATCATCTCAAGATAACCTCAAGATAACCCCATTGTGTACAAGGATTCCGCTTAGCTTTTGGGGTTGATTTTTGACACTCGTTTGTCTTGGTCGCTCCCATATCTCTTGCCTCCGAGTTGAATGCTCTTAGGCCCTTACCCTCCTTCAGGTGTTATCCCATGCTTCTTGGGGAGCGGATAGACGCGCGCTCCTCACTTTACATTCCTCTCGTCTTGTCTAAACTCGATTATGGTTGCCCTGCTTACTCGTCTGCTTCTCCTTCTTCTCTTTGCCGTCTTGATGCTTTGCACCATACTGGGTTGTGTCTCAGCTATGATGCCTTTCGTTCGACTCTCATCCTCAGCTTGTATGTTGACACTGGCTATCTGTCTCTCCAGGACAGCCGTTATTGCTACTGTCTTTGCTATCTTGCACGGTCCTTGCAACATCCTTCCTCTCGCCTCTGTCATGCTTTAACTTTTATCCCTCCTGTGGTTCATGTTCCTCTTCATCTCCCTCTTTCTGTCCGGTTATCTCGCTTACAGGATTCTCTTTCGGTTCATATTTCTAATATTTCTCCTCGTGTTGTTCCTTCTTTGCCCCCCGTGGAGAGTCCCCCTTCCACAGTTTTGTACTTCTTTAACCCGTATCACTAAAGCTTTTATCCCTTCTACGGTTCTGAAACACCTTTTCCTTGAGCACTTTTATTCACACTCCCGCTCCGTTTCCATCTTCACCGTGGGTCTAAGTCTGCAGACGGAGTTGGCTACTCTGTTGTTTTCCTGACAGCACTTGTATGTGTCGCTTACCTCCGGAGACTAGCATCTTCACAGTGGAACTTTATGCTATTCTCTATGCTCTTCGTCTCCTGCTTTCTTGTCAATCTTCCTTTGTAGTTGTCGTTGACTCTCGTAGTGCCCTCATGGCTCTCTGGTTCTTTAAGCCGGTTCATCCAGTGATTGTCGAGATACAGCATTGGCTGTTTCATATTCACAGTAAATTTAAGTCGGTTGAGTTTTGCTAGGTTCTCATCCATATTGGTCTCTTAAATGAGCATGCGGATGCTGCCGCTAGGGAAGCTGTCTGCTCTTGTCCCATCTCTCGTAAAAGTATTCCTTATTCCGACTTTTACCCAGTTATTCATTCCTCCATCCTTACCCATTGGCAGGCTTGTTGGTTTTCTGTTACTGATAATAAACTGTGTACTCCTAAGAGTTGTGTGTCCTCGTGGCCGCTGTCCTACCACTGTAACCGGCGATGGGAAACAGCTCTGGTGAGGTTGCATATTGGCCATGCTCACTTAACTCACGGTCACATAATGGAACGCCTCCCTGCTCCTTATTGTCCAAATTGCATTGTTCCTCTTAGTCATGCATATCCTTGTTGAATGTCCTGACTTCCAGGACGAGCGTGTCTTGTTTTCCGACCATCTCTCTACGGTTGCTTGTCCCTCGATAGAATTCTTGGCGAATCAGATTCTTTTGATATCGTTCGCCTTATGCGTTTCTGTTTTTGTATTGGCATCCTTGGTGATATTTAGTGCCCTCTGATTATTCCGCACGTTTGATGGTGATACATAAACTTCACAGTTTGGTGCCTTCTTTTGATAATTACTTGTGTAGCTTCCGGGGATCAATGGCGCCCGGTTTCCGGAGATCAATGGCCCTGCGGCCCGATCTCCAGGGATCAATGGACCCGCGGCCCAGTCTCCCGGGATCAATGGACCCACGGCCCAGTCTCTATCCAGACTTCCTGGTTGGTCGTCTGGTCAACCAGGCTATTGGACCGTGAACTTTGAAATGGCATTTGTTCTTGAAATAAAGTAGATTCAACAACGCAATAGCGTCGATTTAACGTTGCAATTGCATTGCAATAACGTCGATTTAACTTTGCAAATACATCAATTTAACGTTGCCATTGTGTTGCCTGAACGTTGCAATAGCATCAATTTACTGTTGCAGTAGCAATCGGGGATCAATGGCCCCACGGCCCGGTCTCCGGGGATCAATAGTCCCGCGGCCTGGTCTCCGGGGATCAATGGTCCCACGGTCCGGTCTCCAGGGATCAATGGCCTTGCGGTCTGGTCTCCGGGGATCAATGGCCCCGCCTCCGGTTGTTGTTATAGATTCAGCTACTCGGAACAAGTTCTAAGTAGCACGGGCTATGGTGAGTCAGTAATGGACATACCTGGCACAGGAACAGTGCTGTGTGTCTCCTGTTTAGAGACTGGTGATGTTAGAAGATAAAACACAGTAATCACTTAAGATGCTCCCGTGACTTACGGTCACGGGAGTCACCACAACGTCAGTCACCTACCCTCCCCCTCCCCCCCTTGCACCTGCACAATAAAATCACTCCCTTGTTTTCCTGCCCTGGGAGTGTCCACCACTGCACTCGCACACCTGTTCTCTCTCAAGCTGCAACGTACACTGCGGTCTCCGGGGATCAATGGAACAACGGCCCGGTCTCCGGGGATCAATGACCTCGCGGCCCGGTCTCTGGGGATCAATAGCCCCGCAGCCCAGTCTCTGGGAATCAGTGGTCCCGTGGCCCGATCTCCGGGGATCAATGGTCACGCGGCCCGGTCTCCGGGGATCAATGGCTTCGCGGCCCGGTCTCCGGGGATCAATGGCCTCGCGGCCCTGTCTCCAGGGATCAATGGTCCTCGGCCCGGTCTCCGGGGATCAATGATCCCGCGGCCCGGTCTCCGGGGATCAATGGTTTCACGGCCCGGTTTCCGGGATCAATGTCCCTGAGGCCCGGTCTCCGGGGATCAATAGTCACGCGGCCCGGTCTCCGGGGATCAATGGCTTCGCGGCCCGGTCTCCGGGGATCAATGATCCCGCGGCCCGGTCTCTGGGATCAATGGTCCCGCGGCCCGGTCTCCGGGGATCAATGGTTTCACGGCCCGGTCTCCGGGGATCAATGTCCCTGAGGCCCGGTCTCCGGGGATCAATAGTCACGCGGCCCGGTCTCCGGGGATCAATGTCCCTGAGGCCCGGTCACCGGGGATCAATAGTCATGCGGCCCAGTCTCCCGGGGTCAATGATCACGCAGCCCGGTCTTTATCTAGACTTCCCAGTTGGTCGTCTGGTCAACCAGGCTGTTTGACCATATACCTTGAAATGGAGTAAATTCAACGTCGCAATAGCGTCGATTCAACGTTGCAATTGCGTTGATTTAACGTTGCAATAACGTCGATTTAATGTTGCCTTAGCATCGATTTACCGTTGCAGTAGCTTTCGGGGATCATTGGCCCGGTCTCCGTGGATCAATGGCACCCGCGACCCGGTCTCCGTGGATCAATGGCACCCGCGGTCCGGTCTCCGTGGATCAATGACACTCGCGGCCCTGTCTTCATCCTGACCTCCCAGTTGGTCAACCAGGCTGTTTTGACCAAAAACATTAAAAATAGTAGATTTAACGTTGCAATAACGTCGATTTAACGTTACAATAACGTCGATTTAACGTTACAATAACGTCGATTTAACATTGCCATAGCGTTGTTTTAACGTTGCCATAACGTCGATTGAACGTTGCAAACGCGTTGATTTAACGTTGAAATAGCGTTGATTTGACATTTATTCAACGCTCCAATTGCGTAGATTCAAACTTTTTCGATCGATGCAATGGCGTCGAGGTATCTCAGATATCCAGCGGTGCCTCAGATATTCGAAGATGCCTCCAGGTACCCAGAGATATCTCTAGATAACCTATTATATGAGAGATATCCCCAGATATCTCATAATATATATAATGTATATAATGCAAAAATTAACATTTTTCCTTACCCGTCATGCTGTTTACAATTATCCAAAGACGAAACCAAATCACTGTAGGTTATATGAAATACAGTTTCAATCACAACTATTTATTCCAAAGCATTTTGTTATCTTTTTCTTAGAAGTGGTGCTGTAACATACAAACCACACACGCAAGACAAGGTGATTGAACAATACGGGACAAGAGTATCAAATAGTTTTAATGTATATAACTGCCTTGGAGGATTTAGACATTTGTGTATATAACGAGGCTTATTAAATAATGCCATTAGGTCAAAAGTTATCATAATTATACATCCAGAGATCATTTAATTCGTTTATAAATTATTTTATAAACTAAGTAATATCCCAGAACAATACCTTGCATAGAAAAAACACATCACTCAAAATTCAAACACTTATCTGCACACATCAAACTTCTTTGGGCGCATGCAAGAAATTATTGCATGGAATATATTATTTCACTGGGTATCAGTATAGAAAATGGAATGAAGTAAATTAAATGTGACCTTAGGAAACCCACTATCAAAATCAGCCAATCTTCGAATAGACCACCAATCATGAAAAGGGTTTTTTTTCTAAGTGACCCGTGTATGCGTCAAACATTCACAGGTGCTTGATTTTTATTTCACTATTTAAGAGAATTCGACAGGCCGAATCTGTTGTATTCTTTACTAACCAAAACGAAGTGAAAATAACACTGAGGTATAGTCTGGAATATGTCGGTAAATATAAACTAATAGGAACACAACACTTTAGAGAAATAAACCTTAAGGTAGTATAAATTTACAAACTTTGGAATGAGAATGCAGCCTTATAGATTATGAGATAAATTATTAGGTCTAATTATTTACACACACTAACCATAACTTTGGCATCTAGCCTTAATACTTTGGAGATGAGGACTCATTTAAAGTATAAATAAAGATAAGGTAACCTACTCAATCCCTGATCCATGTAGATTGTCTCGATCTATGGTAGATATGCTATCATTCTTGGCATATGACCTGACCCGACAGTTTAAATAATTGCCATGCTGGCAAATGAAAGCTTAGGCACAAGAAAATGATTTTGGCCCCTTGTATTTGAACAAAATGTTTGAAACATTGGCAACTAAAGAAAACGCTACAAGATAATAATTTGGCAGGTACTGTACAAGCAAACAAATAACAATAATAACGAGAGATAACAAATTAACTGGGAGACATCACAGACAAAAGGAATTAAATTATATTAACTAAATAATATAACCACCGAGTTGTTATATACAATGTATATACAGAACATTAACTTACAGATTATAGAAGTGTCTAGGGCACGTCGTCAAGGCACGAATTATTGAATTTCAAGGCAAATTGTGAATGCATTAACATTGAAAGTAAAATAATGAATGTAACCCTTAAGAACAACTACAAGCTATGACATACATTGCACTCAGCTACGGAATAGAAAAGTTATCTTGAATAGAGACACCCTTTGTTTATGTATGGAATTGTCATGTATGGACTCGCACTTCCCATGAACACATCGTGATCAAGCCACAGGTTTATCGGACACCTAGCAGCTTAGCGGCGTCGTCGGCGGATTTCGAAGTTAGCAACCTATCGACCACCGCTCGCTTTGTTCCAAGTAGGTTTGAGATGAAGTCAGTGCCTTCCGTCTCATCTTTGCGTTCTTCTTTTATCTCTGTCTTAATTATCGGAGAAGGTAGGCATCCTTCCCTTTGTTCATCTTCAGAGGTGACTGGAGAGGAAGGTCTAACATGATCTGTTGCAATATGTTGTTTTAATTCTGCCAGACTCCAGTAACGCTGCAAACAGAACATGCAGCTGACCTGTAAGTAGAAATATATATTGTTAATTGCGCGTTGAACAAAATATTAAATCATTATACAAACGTGCGTGTATACACACAGGTATACAGAACTGCATACACAAAATGTTTAGTACTGTATGAATAATGTATATCCTAAAATATAGTACTACTTATACATATTATATAGCAAAGTATATACACTAAAATATATATACATAAAAATATAAGATTTTCACAAGAGTATAAAGTACATATAAATTATGTTGCGTAAACAACACGAATTTAGGTATAATCTTCAAACTCACTCTGTCTGTTGTGGTAGAGTCAGGAACAGGTGGTTCATTGTTGTTGTCTGTGGTAATGGGCTCTGTGTTGATTATGTTCTGCGCATGTTCTGGGTGGGCCTTGCCGAGGTGATGCAGAGCAGCTTCGCGGGTAGCTAGAGGAGTCTCGCAAACATGGCACCGGAAGGGCCTGGTATCGTCTCGCAAGACCGCTGTATCACTTGCTTTCTCGTGTTTGAACATTTCATGCTTCCGAAGGCTCTCTAGATTGGTGAAAGCTGCCCCTGGACATTTGACGCAGCGATATGGACGGTCGCCTCCCATTGTGTGCGGGGAGTCGGGATGTTTTCGTAGAAGATGGCGATCACAGTTTGATTTTGTGGTGAAAGGAAAGTGGCAGACTGGACATAAGTATGGCTTCTGCCCTGTGTGAGTTCGAATATGACGAACAAGAGAACTAGACCACGGGAATTTTCTCTGACAAAATGGACATTTTTGTTTCTGTGGGGCGGAAGAGTAGGCACTACGTTTTCCATCTTCTGATACTGGCGTGGAAGAAGTAGAGTCGTCCTCACCCGGGGGTTCCTCCTCACCCTCGCTGCCAAAAAAAGGAAAGCTTTGACTGGATGCAGTTGACAAGAGCTTGTGAACACTGGCCAGGTCTGTCCCGCTATCATCACGACTTCTCTCATCTGTGCTATTCCCATCACCGTCTTCATCTTCTTCCTCTTCATCCTCGTCTTCTTCCTCTTCCTCCTCTTCTCCATCTTCCTCTTGACCATCATCAATAACTAATTCACTCTCCTCCTCTTCCCTCTGCCTCGTCTCTTCTCTCTCATCACTGGATTCCTTTTCGATCTTGTTGATTAGCTGCTCTCTTACCGTGTCGGAAATAGTCTGTGGTGCATCTGTTACTGCGATTGGCGTCTCCGACTCCGATCTTGATGTATTGACACCCCGCGGCCGCTGCTGCCATACGTCTGGATGCTGCTGCTTCATATGACGCTCCATGTTCGAACGTAGCGTAAACCCTTTATCACAGAGATCGCACCTCCATGGTCTTTCTGTTCGGTACCTTCTTTGTTTGGGTTTTTTCATTAGAACAGAGTTGCGCATTGTAAAATGCATTACGTCCTCGTCACTTGGTTTAGGTACATTAGTCACCTGATTGTCTGTTACAGATGTATCTTCAGCTTTAATTTCAACACTGCGAATTTCAGGGCGTGGAATCCGTAGTGGATTGCGCCGAGCAGCAGCTAGGGCAAGAGCAGAAAGAGGAAATGCTGAAGTGTGGTGTAGAAACCCTCCTGTTCCACTAAGCAATGCTCCACCAGAGGTGAGCTGCAACCCACGTTTCAGCTCTTTCTGATATTCCTCCAGTAATGCAGAGTCAAACTGATGGACTGGACGAATACCGTATGGGTCCATAAGGATGGGATACTGACTTGGCGTAAATGGACTACAGAGGGACAGGGGCTGTGAATACATTGTACTTAGTGGGAAGGGTGGCCGTGGAATCTTTAGTACATCGGAAGGAGACTCTTGTGAAAGCTCTATAGTTTTTTCGACAACCACTTCATCCTCTCTGTCTATCCGTGGTTTTGACAAGTCCTCGGGCTCCAATTGTTCAGTCTTTATATCACTCATTTCAACATCAACTTCCTCTTCCTCCTCTTCCTCCTTTTCCTTATCTCTTTTAGAGTTCATACTCAGGTCTAGAGGAGCATCCTCCACGTCAGGGAGAGGAGAGACAGGGGTGATAGTCGGAGTGAGGGGACGGGGCGGGACTATTGATACAGGGACTAACGGCTTGTGTGGAAATGTTATGGGCAAAGAAACTGGAGGAGGTTGATGGGGAGTGGGCATCGCCATGGGCAATTTGGAAAAGTTAAGTAAAGACTCCACCGGCGTGAGGTCGTGATGTTCATGGCGATCTTCGCTAGAGGATCGATTCACTACGAGTTGTTCAAGTGTGGGTCCTGAGGCGGACTCTGCGTGCTGCTGGATCACATGTCGCATCACATCGTTTTCAGATGAGAAGGCGCCTCCGCACAGCTTGCACGAATAGGGTTTTGTCATTCCTTCTGGGTGAGAGGAACGGATATGATCCCGCAGGACAGATCGTGCCTTGCAGTCGATGTGACAAATATGACAGACGGTGTCCAGTGTGTGATCACTGCTCGTCCCTTCCTCTTGTGGAATGAAGTTCATACAGCTCTTCACCTCATCCCGTGACTGGCGGCCATGAATATTCTTAATATGACGTTCACAATTGGCCTTTGTTGTGAAGGCGAGATTGCATATGTTACATTCATACGGCGTATCTCCCTTGTGACTCTTCATGTGCTCTTTCAGTGTGTTTTTGTCATTACTGAAGAAAGAGCAAAGATTGCAACGGTACGGGGGAGCCACCATGTGCACCAGATTATGTGACTTAAGTTTACGTAAATTAGCGAAAATATCTTTGCACAAGCGGCAAGGGTACTGGCCATTCAATTTCATATCGCGGTATTCGCGTGCAAACTGTTCATCATGAGAGAGAACCGAGGCAGAAGATACAAGAGGAGAGACACTACTGGCGGTGGTGGTAGCTGCAGCAGCTATTCTACCAGCTGTTGGATGCTCCGGGGATGCCTTGGCTGAATCCGCAGGTGCTGGAGAATGGTGGCCGGGAGGCGGCATTCCCAGAGGTGGTCTCAAACCCCCAGCGAGGAAGGACGCCTCCATCGTTGCGGCCATAGGCGTTAAAGGTACTTCACGTTTTTGTTTGTTCAGCAAGTCCAGCACCGCCAAGAAGCTCTCTTTACGAGGCTGGGGCTCTTCACACAGGTGGCGCTGGTGGTGGTGAGCCAACTCTGCCACGTTTGAGAAAGTCAGGTCGCACCGGAGACATCTGAGTGGAGGCGGGGGAGCCGAGGAGGCAGCAGCGTGTTCACGCATATGCATCAGCCACGAGTCGGCACAAGGAAAGGTAATGTTACACATCTGACACCTGTGGACACCGATGCCCTCACCTGGATGCTGCTGCTGTCGGCTGCTCGACTCGCAAATTTCTTTGGCAATGAGTGGGAACTTGGTGATAGAGAAGTCTGTGCACGTGAGGTCAAGTTGCGGGGGAGAAGCAGTAGCTGTGGGGTGGACCATAGAGTTGTGGAGGTGCAGCGCGCGATAGTTTTTAAAACCCAGCTGACAGGTGGTGCACGCCACTTGGTATTCTGGGTGGATGGTCTCCACGTGCTGCTCAAGCGCGTGTTGACTTGGCTGCTCCACTCCACACGCCGGACACGCCAGCTCCTCCTCAGTATCGCCCAGACGCACTGCCTTGGCTGACACCACGTTCTCCTCGTCGTCCAGTCTCCGCTTGCACGGCGAGGAGGAGCCTTCTTCGGAGCCCAGGTCGCTCTCCCCAGTGTCCGAGCCCGGACCGCCGCCCCCATTGCGGTAATGGCCGCGGATGTGGCGATGCATGTTGCCATTGGTGGTGAAGTGCGTGCCGCAGATGTGACACCGAAACGGCCGCTCGCCAGAGTGAACCAGCATGTGTCTGTCCAATGAGCTGTTACTACTCAACTGTTTCTTACAGATACCGCAGCAGTACACTTTCGTGCCATTGTCCGTCTCGAGGACGTGGTTGTGTTTTCGGATGTGTTGAGTGAATTCATGTTGAGAAGAGTGCACCTCCTGGCACACGGGGCACGCAAAGCTGCCGCCTACACCCGCCTCGCTCTCGCCCTCACTCCCACACTCCGTCTGCAACAAGAAACAGCATTTTATTCTCCACTGCCACCACGACGACCCCTGACCCAACCACACCGCACGCCAACAGACGGCAAGCGCGACCCCCTTCCCACAACGTCCCCTACACAGGCGCGACCCTCACCACGCTCCGAGCATACACCCTCACACACATCTTTCCCTCCAACTCGTGCTCAACACTCAGAAATATTTATACACAAATCAGGCCTTTACAATGACCACGCATTCAGCCGTAAACAATTTACCAAATGGTACGAGTCTATCCTAAATAATTATTACCTAACTAAATACCGCACCGACACTCCTGCAACAGTAGTGTTCAGCCCCCAAAGAAAACTTACCCCCAACACTCTTCCATAAGTGGTATGGAAGACGGAAGGGAAGGGAAGGGAAGGGAAAGGAAGGAAGGAAGGAAGGAAGGAAGGAAGGAAGGAAGGAAGGAAGGAAGGGGGAAGTAAAAAGGTTTGAGGTGGAGGCTGAGTGAAGGAGAGGGGGGGGGAGGTGTGCCCCGCAGCTGTCAGCGACTGCCCGGAGGCTCCACGTTTCTCTTGTGCTCGCCACTACTCGCTCCCTGCCTCCCTGATACTCAGTCTCACCGCTATTACATCCCCCGACCTCCTTTTTTTAGAAGCGGCTTTCCTCAATCAAAATTACCAATAGTTGCCGACAGCAGTAACACGTTCAACACCTGTAGCTTACTAGGGAGATCATTGTCACGTTCAACACCTGAAGCTTACTAGGGGGATCATTGTCACGTTCAACACACCTGTAGCTTCCCCGGGATATCATTGCCTTTTAGACGTTCATGAAGATAGCAGTTATATGTATATGATAACAAGGTTAACTCCCCGACAGGACAAGCACACCAAGCGAGTGTCTGACATTAAACAGCAAGAGACACTGTAGGTGGGTTACACGGCACAATACTCCCATTTGTAACAAGCAAATACATGATGTGTCTATATTGTTTTAAGTACACCCGCAGCTTCAAGAAGTACACTACACCCACTGTCTGAAGAAGTACAGTACACCCACTGTTTAAAGAAGTACAGTACACCCACTGTTTCAAGAAGTACAGTACACCCACTGTCTGAAGAAGTACAGTACACCCACTGTTTCAAGAAGTACAGTACACCCACTGTCTGAAGAAGCACAGTACACCCACTGTCTGAAGAAGTACAGTACACCCACTGTCTGAAGAAGCACAGTACACCCACTGTCTGAAGAAGTACAGTACACCCACTGTCTGAAGAAGTACAGTACACCCACTGTTTCAAGAAGTACAGTACACCCACTGTTTCAAGAAGTACAGTACACCCACTGTTTCAAGAAGTACAGTACACCCACTGTTTCATGAAGTACAGTACATCCACTGTTTCATGAAGTACAGTACATCCACTGTTTCATGAAGTACAGTACATCCACTGTTTCATGAAGTACAGTACACCCACTGTTTCATGAAGTACAGTACACCCACTGTTTCAAGAAATACAGTACACCCACTGTTTCAAGAAATACAGTACACCCACTGTTTCAATTAGTACAGTACACCCACTGTTTCAAGAAGTACAGTACACCCACTGTTTCAAGAAATACAGTACACCCACTGTTTCAATTAGTACAGTACACCCACTGTTTCATGAAGTACAGTACACCCACTGTTTCATGAAGTACAGTACACCCACTGTTTCATGAAGTACAGTACACCCACTGTTTCAAGAAGTACAGTACACCCACTGTTTCAAGAAATACAGTACACCCACTGTTTCAATTAGTACAGTACACCCACTGTTTCATGAAGTACAGTACACCCACTGTTTCATGAAGTACAGTACACCCACTGTTTCATGAAGTACAGTACACCCACTGTTTCAAGAAGTACAGTACACCCACTGTCTGAAGAAGCACAGTACACCCACTGTTTGAACAACCACAGTACACCCACTGTTTGAACAACCACAGTACACCCACTGTTGAAGTAGTTCAGTACTACTGCTTGAAGTATAGCTCTTAAGGACACTAAGTTACATAACCATGAATTTTAAGATAATCACGATTAAAAGCAAACACTACATACAATGCAAAACAAAGGCAGAACTAATAATATTAACATTAGAAGGCGTCAGAGCTCTCCTTAAGTAGTGGCGAGATGTGGCAGGAGTGCATGTTGTAGCAGAGTGCATGTTGTGGCAGAGTGCATGTTGTAGCAGAGTGCATGTTGTAGCAGAGTGCATGTTGTAGCAGAGTGCATGTTGTAGCAGAGTGCATGTTGTAGCAGAGTGGTGCATGTTGTAACACGAGTGTATGTTGTGGTGCATGTTGTAACACGAGTGCATGTTGTGGCGAGATGTGGCAGGAGTAGACGATGCTGTGATATATGAACAGAGTTGGGTTCGCCAATAAGACGCAGCACACTTGTAAGTGTTGATCTTGGGCTGCGGTCGGGCAGAACGGGAGTCTCCTTGCTATACCCTCCCGGAATTCCCCAGATAAACTTTCCAAGAGGCTGGTAAGATCATAAACAAACAAGGCGCAGCCTTCATACAAACGCGCATATAGCGTTAACGCTCCACTTAATCAGAAATGTAACATTTGTTTCTCATGTATGAAGTCTAAGGCACAAGTACGGTATCGTCCGCGAAACAATGCCAGTCCTTAACATAGGACTAGTTATAACCGAAGGAAGTGTCGCAGAAGAACACTCAACTACACAATCATTCCCGGGGAAAGAGAGAGATCCTTGCTAGTTCTGGAAAGACCAGAAATGTGTTAAGATTAGCAGCCGACCGATACTGGATCCTAACACCCACGTCACCGCGCACTTCCACATCAGGTCACACACTCGCTTACAAGGTAAAATGTATCAAGTTTAAAATAAAGGTTTCTGTCACAATTCTTACCATGTTAATACACATGGATAGCACTTGGGAGAACCCAATTGGAACAAGTTCAGTGAAGTGTCCCAGCACCATCAATACACTGGCTAGCTACCAAGACCAGCTGTAGCAGCACCTCGTCATCTCAACAGTGGAAGCGCACTGAACCACAGAAACGGACACGGGCGCTGCTGCACCCAGTGGGGCGTGGCAGTGATCTCAACGCGCGCCAAGACGTTATGGGAAAGACTGCGCCAGTGTCCGTCGGGAGTGACCAGCAGCCGGCACTTGGAGGAGGGGTATTGGGGGGATGGGGGATAAGGAGAAAGAGCTGCCCTTACCTCTACTTTGTGAACCTTCGTCGCCTTCCGTTTCTTTGCTCCCGAGAGGGGTTCTTGATTGGTCAGTAAGTGCCTTTCTGGTCTGTCAGTGGAGGACTGAAGACGCGCTGCGTTGTGATTGGTGGGCTCAGCGGCCATGTGGGCGGAGTCTGGGGTGGGGGGAGCCTCTGGCGACGGGGGGGTGGAGCCGTGGGAGGAGCCTCGGGTGGGGTCACACTCCGCCCTCAGGGGGGAGGAACCTGGGGGGGTCAACGTGCCCTTAGGCTCTGGAGACGCAGTTGCCGCTGCCATGTCAGTCTCACCTGAGGAAAGGGAAACCCTCACGTTAGTCATTACTCGTCTACATTATCTTTTTCCAAATATACTATGCAATGAAAATGTAAATGCATTTAACGCACAAGTTTTCTCTTGGTACGCAAAACTTAATATTTACCACCTCTCATACACTCTATAATATGCGTAGCACGCTATCTATGCAAACACGTTTACGAACTGTCAAGGCCAACCATTACCCAACGTGAAGTACACAACGCATGCAATTCGAGTTGAACGTATACAAATTAAGATGCGTGACGACACTTCTACACTTCTCACTGTCACCTGCACTACATCAGACCTATTCCTGCTGCCTAGCTTATTTATGGTTAAAGCTCTATACGCTTAGTCTACATAAGCACTGCAACAATTTTTCTTAGGTCAACTAGGTACTAAACGCGCCAAGTAGAGACCCCAGCAGGGACAGACCACAGCTATGACAAGACCCACGACTCCAGCAGGGACAGACCACAGCTAGGACAGGACCCACAGACCCCAGCAAGGACAGACCACAGCTAGGACAGGACCCACAGACCCCAGCAAGGACAGACCACAGCTAGGACAGACCACAGCTAGGACAGGACCCACAGACCCCAGCAGGGACAGACCACAGCTAGGACAGGACCCACAGACCCCAGCAGGGACAGACCACAGATAGGACAGGACCCACAAACCTCAGCAGGGACAGACCACAGCTAGGACAGGACCCACAAACCCCAGCAGGGACAGACCACAGATAGGACAGGACCCACAAACCCCAGCAGGGACAGACCACAGATAGGACAGGACCCACAAACCCCAGCAGGGACAGACCACAGATAGGACAAGACCTCAGCATGGACAGGACCCCTAACATACGCAACCTTGATACAAGTTTTCATGTTCAAATTACAGTTCCACCAAATATAGTCTTTCTATAAAATACTATAACACGTGTGAAACCTAACAACACACTAATCAGCGAGACAAACACTACTTGCTCATTAAGATCTCAAAAATCATTTAAGATAAACAATGACCAACAATAACCATTACACAACATCAATTTGCATGTTCCTGCATTATATTTGCAACTAGAAACACTATTTTCTACAAGTTTCACGCAATAAAAAAATCACTGTTTACCAACACTTATCTCGTAGATATCACAAGAGTTGTGTTGGTCAGTCCAGGTCAACACCGACCAAAAAGAAAAAAAAACTGTTCCAGGACAAGTGAAGTCGTTTTCAGCAAAGTTAACGATGATTTTTTTTAACAAATAAGGAGATAATTACTGGCTCACATGAGGATTTAACCACCCGCAATAGGCTAAAACCATCACTGGACCGAGTACTATCACCCAATACTCATAGAAACCAAGTTTGGACTTACAGAATATGGTGTGGTAGTCTGGAGATGGGATAACACCGAAGATTTTGTGACGATACTCTTCTGCCGACACTACCATCTCTACACTTTTCCTGCACACACACTTCCTATAGTAATTAAAGCTTCAACCAAAACACTGGAATTTGTGTTTACTATAAATATTTCTAGTTTATAGCGTCTTTGGTGTACATCGGTCGACACTTTCCTGAGTTCACTAGAAAGCACTAACTACGTTCACTAGTTGCACTAAGTTAACAATGGTTAAGTATTAACAACCATTTCACTGGACGGTGCTCGGCGCTTCCACCCTCCTCACGAGGGTAATGATACAGACTCTGGGTGAGCAAAGACGCGTGTGACTAGGTAATGGGGTTGTGAGGAACTGAGATGACGATCACGTCTCCCGCTATATATACCCTCCCCTCCACGTGCCAGTTACCACTCAACACTTATTTAATTTGACGCGTTTCATCGTGGGAAGTAACTGTGTAAACGCATATTTACCACACAACAATAGGCATTTGAATTATGAAAATGCCCAAAGTGATTTAATTTATATAAAACACTTGAAAATTACGGATAAAATATTGGTAGTTGGCAGCGTGCCGAGTCATCCGTCCCGCGGGAGGGCGGAGTGAGACTCTCCGGATGACATCATAAGCTGGTATTTACATCAGCTAAATTAACGTACTAAAATTCTATATTTTCTCACAGGAAGAAAATATATTTTCCATCTTAAAACATCACCATCTTCATTCCTCAATAACAAATTATGTCCAAAACATTAAAAGGGCACGAGCATCATCAGGGGGAACTAAGACATTTCCACCACTTAATGAGGCAGACACAACTAAGACAACAAACGCGTTCGGATCAGGAGAAAAGGTGCACTTATAACGTACCATCAGTACGAGACAAAGAAAGAGGAGGCAGGATAAGTTAGGCTGGCATGCCTTGACGCCACACTGTCTGCCACCACCACTCCCAGTTACCACACACCGCCACACGTCTCTCCTACCCACGAAGCCTAAACAAGTAAATTGCTCCTCCGGATAACCTATCCTAAACATTGTTTTGTTTTCCTATCATTTTGGGGGGAAATGGGGCGGGAGGGGAGCGGGTGGTGGTGGTGTCTGAAAATATTTTCAGACTTATGTTATTGTGGTTTTGCTTGGATTTTGGAGCACCTAAAGTTTGATAAGTTATCAGCCAGGTTTGAAGGGTCTTTTTGAGGGTATGATTAGTGACGCAGTTATCTGGGGCGGCGGGGATGGTTCACCAGCTCTTCACGCTCTCTGTGTAGGATCTTATTGCTCGAGGCATGGGTGATGCTGGCCCGCCTGTGTGTGTCATTATATATATATATATATTATGTTACCCCAGACAGACAACCAGAGCGCAACTCTACAGTCTTCCGAGACTGATGAATGCCTACCCCAATTACGATAATCTGTAGGGTGAAATGTGCAGTATAAAATTTAATAAACATGTTAAAATTTATGTATTGATAAGTTTTTACAGCTTATGTAACTAAGCTGTGATATATATCACATGCGCTAAATGACTCATTTCTTTTGTGTTTGAATTTGTGAATTCATTTACCCATCAAGTTTGACCGGTTGCTGGAATAACTGCCTCGTTTCATGCAGGGTTGGCTTTCGATTCCCGTTGTTCAATGTCGTTAGGCACAATTCCTTTATTCCACCCTCATATCCCATCTCCTCTCCCCTTAAACCCCAGGTCTTAGTCTATCTCGTATCCCTTCCAAGTTCTGTATAGTCATACTGACGTAGTGATTTTCTCCTCGTAATTGCCTTGCCTACACGTTTATTGCTTACGTGTTTGTTTCATACAAGAAATACTCAGTCACATTTTCGCACAGAGGTCAACCCCCTACCCACCAGCCAGTCCCGTGTTACCCCCTCCCCCCCCCTACCTCCAGGAGCTGACGACAGTCATCATTCTTGAGGGGTGGCATGATTAGTGGTTGTGACGATGGTGGGTAGGGTGATTATGCCAGGAATGGTCATTAAGGCAGGCATGGTACTACTGGTGGCGGGAATTTGAGGTTGGGAGGCGGCAGAGAGTGATAAAAGGTGTGAGATAAGCAGGATAAGAGGAGCCCAAGGTATAAGTCCACGCCCGCCCTCACCTTCAGTCACAGGTCCACCCTACTGCCCTCTACCGTCCTCCACCCTCACCCTTCTCCTCGCAAACGTTCTCCTCTCAACGTCGCATTACTGTGACGAAATTAAATTTTCCCTAAGCCGAACTATTATTTACGTCTTGGGAAACGAAATGCTGAGCGTGGGCGGCTCCACCTGTATGTATGGCCACCACATGTGCACATGGCCCACCACATGTACACATGGCCCACCACATGTGCACATGGCCCACCACATGTGCACATGGCCCACCACATGTGCACACGGCCCACCACATGTGCACACGGCCCACCACATGTACACATGGCCCACCACATGTACACATGGCCCACCACATGTGCACATGGCCCACCACATGTGCACATGGCCCACCACATGTACACATGGCCCACCACATGTGCACATGGCCCACCACATGTGCACATGGCCCACCACATGTGCACATGGCCCACCACATGTGCACATGGCCCACCACATGTGCACATGGCCCACCACATGTGCACATGGCCCACCACATGTGCACATGGCCACCCCCTCCCCCATCCCCAGTATATATGGGGTAGAAGTGTAAAACACACGTTAGTCATATATGGTTTGTGAACTTGTGTGTCGGGGAAATCTATCACTAACCTCTATAATAATATAGATTGCAACTATTTGGCCAAAAGTACACAATTTAACTCATGCAGCCAGTTTACAACTAATTTTGTAAAGGACAGGAACAAATAAGCCAAACTTACACATTACTAGGCTTATATAACACATATATATGTACTATATTTGGCTTAATATGGCGTATATGAGGTTGAAGATAACTTGGACATTCTTTGGATAGTTAAAAACAAAATGATTATGACATTTGGGATAAATACAAAACGCGAACTTCGTTTTTTCTTATTCAAATGGTCCATGTATGTTCGCTGAAATAGTGTACTGTTGTTTTAAGAGTAGTTTCTAATGTCTAATCTTCCGTTACGTCAGTATATGCACGATGGTTCACATTGTTACTACAAGTACCATGTAAACATGAGGATGGCCTGACCTCACACACACACACATGACCTGTGGTGAGGTCACGGACAATACGAGTATCGTCAAATATGAATACAAATTTGTGTATTAATAATACACTAACCACTATACCAATGTCACGCTATATTACCATTATAACAACACAACCACACATCAATCACCGCCGTCACTAACATTAACTCATCCATACTAGTGTCAATTACACAAACAGGGCTTAAACTTGAAAACAAAATGTAGAAGCCTGGCGTGTAGATGACACGTATAGGATACCTGCTGCTGGAGGAGCTCCACACACACACAGCAACAGACTAAATGTGAATTCATCATTCCACCAGTCTTACTAAATTAATATTTGATAAATATATATTTTATTCACCTCACGTTCGTCCCCGTCTCCCTGACATGAACCCAACCAGGTCTTCATAAGCAGACGACTGCCCTACACAGCACCGCTCCTGTGCCAGGTAAGTCCACTACGGGCTCACCATAGCCCGTGCTGCTTGGAACTTGTTCCGAGTAGCTGAATCTATAACAACAACAACTTCATAAGCACCATATCCTTATATGGTGCCTTATATGGTGACTATATTTCACTATCACAAAAATCCGAAGCAGATTCTCAGGGTGTGAACTAGCACTGTTCTTTGCGTCCCCTTTATGTGGAATATTGGCTTGCTGTCGTCACCACCTTCCCTCGGGACGTCTTCATAAAAGATGCGCTCTCTCAGCACACCAGCAAAGATTCCAGGAACCGCACCGAACGACGCCAGAAAATGACATATACTAAATACAAGAAATACACAGGTGGGATTAGTATACTGGAGGAAATGTTTGCGAGTAACAGAGGACGACACTGGTGGATGCTAGACAAAGTTTAGTTTTTTACCTTAAGAGTACTGGATAAAAGTGGACTGAACGAAACGGGGTAAGTGTTACTAACCCCAAATATTATTTTCGAGGTAGATATAATAGGCAGATATGCAAGTCGAGAATCATCGAGTTAAGACGACCAACAGCAGGAAAGCTGCGGTCCAAGAGCTGAAGCTTTATCTTGCAGGAACAATTAGGTGGGTACGAGGGAAAAAGGGCGCCGAGGGAGAAGGGCTGGAACGTTATTCAGGAAGAGTGGGGGGGGGGGTCTAGGTGAGGGGTGGGGGGATGGGGCAGCCACAACCCCACCCTCCATCCGTTGACGTAACCCATTTTCACAATCATCTATCTCTTCTTGGAACATCCTCACATCGGCACCACCACTTCAACCACAAACACATCCACCACCACCACCACCACCATCCAACCTCCGCACCCCTTATCTCCTTCCGCTGAGGGGGGGGGGCGTCCACCACTAGTAAGAACAAACGTACGCGTACACGAATGAATGAATGAATATGAGAGAGAGAGAGTATACCTCCACCTCTTGTGGCGGTGGAGGTATATATTATGCATATATTCTTATTAGTATAATGATAATTAAGAAACTGCCATATTACATTTTGTACCAGATCAAAATGGAACGCTTCTCTATCTGCACCAGGAGGGAGGGAGGGGAAGGGGCATGGGCAAGGATAGGAGCAGAGCAAGGCAGGGACAAGGCAGGGGCAGAGCTAGGCAGGGGCAGGGCAGGGCAGGGACAGGGCATGGTTAGGGTAGGGCAGGACAGGGGCACGTGCCCAGGGCAGGGCACGGCCAGGGACAGGGGAAAGGGCATGGGCATGGACAGGGCAGGGGGCAGGGACAGGGCAGGGGCGGGGCAGAGTCACAGCAGGACAGGGGCAGGGCAGGGGCACGGCCAGGGGCACGGAACCTCCAGCATTTCCTAGATTGATGCGCAACTGAAAATGACCTTCAGGAGGGGAGCCGCCAAGTCCCGTTACCATTTATCTTAAACATGACGCTATTCTCAAGCCTCTGAAGAAGAAGAATAGAGATCTTCCAAAAACATAAGTGTACATAGGGCCGCACACATCTATATCTATCGCAGGAGATCTATCGCACACATCCCCTGCCTGAGTTTTAACGCTACTCCGCTCGCTTGCAATACCTGGGGCCAGATTCACGAAGCAGTTACGCAAGTACTTACGAACGTGTACATCTTTCCTCAATCTTTGACGCCTTTGGTTACATTTATTAAACAGCTTACAAGCATGAAAACTTCCCAATCAACTGTTGTTATTGTTATAAACAGCCTCCTGG